AGGGGATTCTGCAGACTGTTGAGGGTTCAGCCTCCTGATGAGTCGGTGAAACTCCGACGAAACAGTTTGTCACAGCCCCTCGTTTGTTGTCCTCTTCTCTCTCTCTGCCTACGGTTTACCGGGCAGTTCTGTTTGTGACGATATAGTGTCATCGCAGCGCAAGTGCACTATAGGCACGTTGAGGTCATCGTGAGCGGTTATGTAACGGGGGTGTTGCTATATTTCTTTTTTCTTCACGGCCTTTAATTGATTTTCGAATATTGATTTTCCGATTTGTGACGAATGACGCATCCAAGTGCATCATTACATTCGAATATTACTCGTACCAGTAATTGTCAACAGAATTGAGTACAACAATTTCTTGGTTTTTTTTTTTTTTTTTTTTTTTTTAGTACAACAGTATTTCAAAATACGACGTTGCAAAAGAAAAGGGAAAAAAAACATTTTATTCTGACTTGCCGGTGGACTAGAAACCGGACTGATGCTCCTCAGAATGGAAATGGAGCCAAGGCCATAAGGACCTGTTTTTTTTGTTTTTTTTTTTTGAAAAAGAAGAAAAAAACAAAATAAAAACGAAGTTGGACATGGCAGAAGCGTAGCATCCAACTAACAAACAGTGAAGTATATGGTAATTACTTTTATTTGGCCGTTGGAGGGTTTAGTAACGTCTTTTCCATCTTTGCATCCTTACACCATAACTCAGAATCGCTTTCCCGCCAAATAACGCAGAAGGGTGTCTGTAAAGGGTGGCGGGAAAGCGACACTGCGTTATGGAGGGTTTAGCAACGTCTCTGCCACCACCATAACGCAGCATCGCTTTCCCGCTAGAAAACGCAGAAGCGCTTTTCCGCCAAATGACGGAGAAGGGTGTAACGCAAAAACGCTTTCCCGCCAACGCAGAAGGGTGTAAAAAAGAGTGGCGGGAAAGCGATACTGCGTTATGGGGGGTTAAGCAACGTCTCTTCCACCTTTACACCCTTACAACGTAAGGCAGAGCTCGCGGGAAAGCCATACTGCGTTATGGGGGTTTAAGCAACGTCTCTTCCACCTTTACACCCTTACACCATAAGGCAGAATCGATTTCCCGCCAGATAACGCAGAAACGCTTTCCCGCCAAATAACGCAGAAGGGTGTATGTAAAGGGTGGTGGGAAAGCGATTCTGCGTTATGGAGGGTTAAGCACGTTTCTTCCACCCCTTTACACCCTTACCCCATAACGTAGAATCGCTTTGCCGCCACACCCCTTTACACCCTTACACCATAATGTAGAATCGCTTTCCCGCCAAATAACGAACTGCCCGACATCTGAGAGTGGCGGGAAAGAGATACTGCCCCACCCACTGCCCCACCCACTGCCGCACCCACCGCCCTACCCACCGCCCCTACGGTCCCATCCATCCCACGGTGAAAGAGAAACCCTTAAAACCCTCGTCGAGCTAGCACAGTCACCACCAGTGGGATAAGGAGAGACATATCCAGGGAGATGAAAGTATAGTTGCGTCTCTCTCTCTCTCTCTCTCTCTCTCTCTCTCTCTCTCTCTCTCTCTCTCTCTCTCCCACACACACACTGCGTCGTTGAACGGTTAATCAGAAAAACTTTGTACAAAAGCTGATGAAAAATTGAAGGAAGACGTCCAGGATGAAGAAGGTAGAAAGCCATGTCGTACCCTGTCCTCTCTCTCTCTCTCTCTCTGCCTGTCACGTCCACTCGTCTCTCTCCCTCTCTCTCCCTCTGCTTTGCTCTCTTACTCTTTTGTCTCCCGCAATATCCGCCAGGCTTGACAGCTCTGAGGCTCGGAAAGCGACTAAGGGGTACGGATCCTGTTGTGGTGTAAGCATCTTCTGCCGAATAGAACTCATGGGGGCGTGACATGCGTTGTAATCGGGGGATGTCCTTCGGGATGGTAGCGGTTTGTTCTTCGTTGTTCATCTTTGCGGTCACGTCATGCCACTTGGGTGCTTGCCTTTTTTTTTTTTTTTTTTTTTTTTTAAGCTGTCTGTTTTTCTTTGCTGTGGGTGCTTGTCTCTCGGGCAATGATAATAGCGGAACGTATAACAGCATTGCACAACGGGAGGCTTGAGGGGAGGGCAGGGAGGGGAATTAGAGGAGAAGGGGGGGAGGGGGCGGGAGGGGTGTAACTACCGTTTTCATCTGAACACAACGTGCCCGCCTTTTTTTTGGCTGCACAGGACCGGAAAGATAGCTTGTGTACATTCGTTATCAGGGTGTGTTGTGTTCGGGGGAAGACGGTAGCGCCAACCAAGGACGATTGCGTTTTGTGATACTGTATATGATGGGGACGAAGTTAGGGCATATACTCACACCACGACTTTTTTCGACTGAGCTCTGGACGTGATCTCGGCCAGATGCATCCAGGCTGGGTCCTAATCCCAGTCAGATACATTAGGAAAGTGCTAGTGTGATTATATGCCCTTATTGTAGTGCGCAGTAAGATGTTATGAGGGCATACGGACACTAGTACTTTTTTATTTTTTATTTTTTTAGCAATTTGAAGGGAACTTTGACGGCTTGAAAGCCATGCGATACGAACAAGTCACCATGATTCGCCACAACACACTAGGACTTCTTTTGAATGAGCTTTTGACGTAACTACGGTGAGGCATACTCACACCAGGACTTTTTTGGATGAGCTCTGGACGTGATTACGGTCAGATACGTCCTGGTACGGCTGTGATTGCGGTCATATACATCCAGCACAGTCCGACAGTAGTGTGGGTGTGCCCTTACTGGGCCTTGGGATCTTCGTCGACCTATCTCTCCATCAGGAGGCGGAATTGCCGGGGCGAGGTCCCACTAGCAAAGAGGGTTGGATTGAATACCTGAATCTGGGCGTGCTTTGTGGAGTGGTGCAGAAAATCGCTATTGATCTGCTTTTCTGTATCTCTGCTTGAAAGACATCCAGATTCAGGCGCTCAATCCTATCCTCTTTGCTAGCGGGACCTTGCTCCGGCAGTCAGCAGGCGGAGGCATATGGGCCTCTGGCCCCACCACTCACCGGATGTGATAAAGACAAAAGCTATGGCCGCTGTATCTTGCCACATTCTGGCAGGAGATGCATTCTCAATTTAACACTTTGGTGAGCAGTGCGCCCAAGCCTCCTTGTATTCCACTAAGCTCTCGTTTGCAGCCACATGAATAAAATAATGTTCGGGACAACTCTCTTTCTTCTTTTGGGCAAATCTCTTTCTTCTTTTTCGTTCTTCTTTTTCTTCTCTTTTTATTAATGGAAAAAAGAAAGGAACACCATAGTGTGGTAAACATTTGGTCATCAGTCCTTCGGGACATCCGTTAAAATGGCTACGGTGGTTCTTTGGGACATCTGTTAAAATTGGAACCATACAGAGAAGATTAGCATTGCCCCTGGGCAAGGATGGCACACGTAAATCGAGAAATAGTCCAAATTAAAAACAAAAGAAAAAAAAGGGAACGATACAGAGAAGGGTAATGGGCATGGCCCCGGGCAAGGATGGCATGCATAAATTGAGAGATGGTCTTTTGACTCTTTTCCTTTGAAGAAAACAAGAATCTGGTCATCTATTGTCTGACTGCAATTGGAATGTGGGCTGTAATTTCACCACCCTCCCTTTTCCCCCCTCCCCCCCCCCTCTGCCCCCCTCTCCCCCACCCGTCGCTGCCCCTTTTTTTCTTTAACTGTTTTGTTGCAGGTCTACAAAGCGGTTTGAGCCTGATGGTCGGCGGTTTGAGTACCTGGCATTTCTGAATTTGGCCCAGAGCATTATCTGTTTCGCATGGTCACTGATCAGTAAGTGCGAAAAGCGAATGAGCGAATTACTTGCGCTTGCCCCCTTACGAAGGACCTCACCCCCTTTTATCAATTCCCCTTTTTCTCATTGAAATAAAAAGGAAAAAAAGGAAAAGCAGACAACCACGAAAAAGAAGGGTTTGTTTTTGAATCCTGCAATCCTTTGCGACTCTTCTCTTCTCTCACGGAACGGTGTACCTTGTCGCTGTCCTGTCAGATACCTTCCATATACAATGCACCAGCCCAGAACAACTCAAATTGCCAACAGCAATTAACTGACTCTGATCACTCATGATGTGCACAGAGAAGAGTGCAATAGAGATTTAACCCGATGCCACTTTGCCTTCCAAATCTTTTGAGTGCCCTCACAAGTATTATAATTGTCCAGTAGTGCGCATAGTTTCACCTGCACCGAGAAATGAACAACCAGAAACCGCCTCAAGAACAACATCCGAATCCATCTCTCTCTCTCCTCATTCCACCATAGCCTCCGCCAAGTCAACACCACTATCACAGGTGGTTGCAAGTTGCGACCCTGCTTAGGTCGGCGCTACCACTCCCTAACCACATGGCCTGTGTGCTTCAGCAACCCGGTATGCATCTCTTTCTTGTTCGACAGCAGTTCAGGTGCTAGTGCTGAAAAGCGGAGATTAGTGCTGCTCGAAATAGCACAAGATTAGCACTGCTTCGCAAAGCGCGTGTGCATCCTGGCGGCATTCCGGCGCTACCATTCCCTAAGCACATGGCCTGTGTGCTTCAGCAAGTCGGTATGCATCTCTTTCTTTTTTGGCAGCAGGTCAGGCACTAGCACTGAATAGCGGAGGTTAGTGCTGCTTGAAATAGCACAAGATTAGCACTGCTTTCGGTTGCGCAGCCTGGCGGCATTGCATCACATCTGTGTTTGTGTGTGGGCTGGATGGGCGGGCTGACTCGAGTAAACTTGCCGGTCCATCAGTGCACTGGCCTCTGGGCCCGATCCAAGGCGAAGCCTGGGCTCGGTTCAGTTTTTTTCAACTTTTTGTTAAATAAACAAAGGTGATAGCCTATCTCAGTGGGTACACCATTGAACTGTTAAAATACAGACCCGTGTTTGAACCAAAAAAAAAAGAAGAAGGTTATAGCCCTAAATATTGTTGGTTTCCGCCGATTTGATCAGGATTCTAGTCATGGTCTGTTTACCAACAGTCACGTGTGTGGGACGCATTCAGCAATACCTGCTAGGTTGAAGATTTTGTCTCTGTTTATTGTCCTCCTCCTACCGTCTTCACGCGAATAGAATTCCCGGTCATTATTGCTGTATCTAGACTCAATGTTGTGCTAGATACGGTGATAATGACAGTTCCTGAGTTCATCAACCTTCTGCACATGTACGATCACTTGCTTGGCCATCACAGCTGCGCTTATGATTTGCACAGTTTCTTGAGCTTTTAGTGGATGATGATGATGATGATGATACTAACGTTGTTTTCTGCATCTTTTGGGGATGTGTTTTCTGATCTGTGGTGCTGCAGTTTTCTTGTTTATCCGACGATCATGTGGCAAGCAGCCCCCAATCTATGCATACTGGAGCGCCAGTGTAAGCAATGCTGTTGGGCCAGCATGTGGCGTCATTGCATTGAAGTACATTAGCTATCCTGCCCAGGTAATCTAGACCCTTAGTCTCATTTTCCACCGGGTTTACAATTCCATTCTGATTTCCGCGTCATACTTATTCCGGACTTGGTGCATGTTTTGATCACTTTAGCTGTATTAGCAGCAACCGAGCAACACTCCCTGTCCTCCTCTTCCCCCCCCTGCATTCCCCCCTCCCCCCCTCTTTCCACCACAAACGCCTTCCAATCAGGTGGATTGTGGGGAAAGCACAAGGAGGGCACCTGCCTTCATACTGCTCTGTTCGCTGTTATTATTGGTTTGTTGAGCACTTCAAATCCCAGGATTCATCAACCTCCTCCTCGAAGTTCAGAAGTGTTTTGAACCATTTCTCGATTTATGCTTGTCATCCTTGTACAGGGGCCATGCTAATCTTCTCTGTATCGTTCTGAAACCAGACTCGTCTTCGTCCTTACTCAGCATGCATGAAAACAGATGGCAATCACACTGGTGCCAGGCGCCCACACAAAGCTCAGAGATATTGAGGCCAAGAACACAGTTCAGATTCAAACTTGCTTCCGATGGCTATGGCGCCTGCGTGCCCACACAACACCCAGCTGACACTGTATTCCTGGCACTGTTCACACGCACGCTACTCTGGATCTCCCTGGATGTCCCACACACTCACACACTTCACGCAACATGCTCACACATACACGCTACAGCCTATCTCTAACCTGCGGCAGCTATGGCCGCCTTGTACCTTCCTAGCTACTAGCGGCTATGGCCGCTTCGTCTCGCTCGCAGCCCACTTCTCCTTCGGGCATCTGCAGACCTCCTTGCACAAGACGCTCAGGCAGCGCTTCTGCTCCGGTTCACAGGCAGAATGACTGAATGACTGAACGCTGTCTCTTGATTTATACTTTGGAGTGTCGCTGGTCTGCCCCTTTTCACCGGGCCCAGGGTGCACACAGTCCCACATGGTACTTGCTGGCTGGAAAAAGTGCGACTGGGACTGGGTACCGCTGACTAGGCTAGGTTGGACTAACCACTTACCCACTTGCTGGACTAACCACTTGCCCACTTGCCTACAGACCTTCGCCTAAGACTACACGAAGGGTCACTTCCGACCTTCCGGAAGGCTGTGGGCTTGACCCTTCGGTACGGTAGCAGCTACGACATTGACCTTTCGGTACTGTAGCAGCTACAACCGCTACCACTGGTAAGACTTCTAACCTGCAGGTCTCCTGCTCGAGACCTGCTGACCTCGCTACCTACAACGTGCAGACAGGCGACTTTCAAGACACGGGTCGCGGGTTCAAACACACACAGGGCAACGAATACTGTGCACGGGTTGGGTGAGGTCCAGGGATTGAGCCCGGGATCTGCATCTGCTGCCGTAAAGGTGAAAACCGTTTCAGTTCCAATTTTAACAGATGTCCCGAAGTTTGGAAGTGTTTTATGCTTTGAGGGGCCTTGCATGACAGTCTCGTGATCGAGTCCTGGTAATGAGAGCGGTTGTAAAGGGTAAGATAGGTTAGCTTAAGGAAGGAGATCCCGTTGGGAAATCTGTTTGGAAAGCTATACGATCATTGTTCTCGAAGGGAAGTTTGAATTCCCCCTGTGAAGGTTAAGGCTTTTGAAGATAGTTCCTGACCCAGTGAGTATTATCATCATTCCAGCTGATGCAGATCATGATGATATTTCATCTTCTTCTCCCTTTGTCTCCCGCTCGCTCTTGTTTCCCCACCCTGCATTCCAGTAGGTTTCCCCAAGCCCGTTTGGAGGTCTGTTGGCTCAGGGTTTAGGGTTTAGGGTTCTGAGATCTAGTCACTTCTCTCGAGTTTCAGGGTCCTGGCTCTCTGTGGTAGAGGGACCTGGTGTGTGTGATATGTGTGTGTGTGTGTGTGTGTGTGTGTGTGTGTGTGTGTGTGTGTGTGTGAGAGAGAGAGAGACTCTTTGGGAAGCAGTTGAGGTTGTGTGAGTGAGAGGCTGGGTGTGGTGGAGTAAGATGTCTGTTTTTGTCACTGCACTATGTCTTTCTTTGTCACTGCAGTCCTTTCTCCTTCCTCTGGGTAACAGTAAGAGTCGTCTTGTACATTTCGTGTACATGAATTCAGTTATCATCTGTGTGCAGATTTCATTCCTCTTCTTTCTCTTCCTAGGAACCTGCCTGCTCTGGAGAAAGTTACAAGAGCCATGAAGTCTCTCTTGATCAAGATGCACACGGCAACAAAGACAGGAGCAGAATTGACAAAGCAATGATTGCATGAGCCCCAACCTGTCCAACTGGCTAAGGTGCCTGCGTTTTTCCTCAGCACCCAACCCGCAATGGCGCAGACCTTCGTCCTCAGCGCCCAACCTGCTATGGCGTCGGCCTTCTTCCTCAGCGCCCAACCTGCTATGGTGCCGGCCTTCTTCCTCACTTCCTCAGCGCCGAACCAGCTATGGTGCTAGTCTTCTTCCTCAGCAGCCAAGCAGCTATGGTGCCAGCCTTGTTGCTCTGCCATGAATTCCACTGGTCTGATATTGTATGATGCCCTGCACGCTGGTAAATGCAATGCCCAATCAGCCTGGCAATTTTTCTGTTGCAGCCCATCTGTTGCTGGCTCTGCCCCGTCGGCTGAAAGCAATCCTTCCACTGGCACAACTTGCCCTGAGCGCTGAGCGGTCTGTCGGCCAAGCATCCTCTGATAATGACGTCCTTTACTTGCTCTGCCCTTCGTCAAATACTTCGGTTGGTACCTGTTCAGCCGGTAGGCACGGCCTTCTGGAGTCGGGCTGTAGGCAGTCTGTCCGGGACCAACTCCTGGCTGGGCCCAACTTGTGGCTTGACTGGGTTTTACCCTTTTGGGCCTGAGTCCAGGGCCTACTTGTCCTCTGCTGTCTGCTGAGAGGACCTTGGGTCCTCGCGCAGTTCGCCCTGTGTGTGATTGCACTTCATGTTTGATTGCTGTGTCATGGAGGGTATTTTATTACGAGTGTTCCTGGCTGTCGTGTGGTTGTGGATGCGCTTAAGGGACAAGCGTACGCGGCTATCTTATTGTTGTGGATGCACTTAAGGGACATCCACATGTTTGAACCTGTGCTAATGCCACTCTCTACCCTTTCAGCTCTGTTTCCACTTCAACAAGTCAGCATCTCTGGACTCTAGGTTGGAATGGAATTAATCAGAAACAAACTTCAAAAAAGAAAGTGCACCAGTGAAAGCAGTCTGATGTTTTCTTTCATTAACTACGCTATTTTCTGCACTAAAAAAAATTCCCATCTCACACTATCTATCTTGGGCTATGGACACCTACAAGGGTTAGGACCAGAGGGCCAGAAGCTACGGCTAGGACAGGCAAGCTATACTAAGCCCTAAGATCTACCCGCTAAGACTTACCTACTCTAAGAGTTATGGGTTCACTCGATTCCTACACTGCTCTGTGTGAGGAGCAGAACCCAGGCTCCTAACACCTGGTCACAGCTGGAAGGCGGATTCATCACCTACCAACCAACCAGGAGGGGCAAGCCGACTATCTCAGCTGGTGAACTTGAGCGAGCCTCGGGAAGCCGTGGGGGTTCGGATGAAGGACCTGGGAATCGAATCCATGACCTCCGGAATGCCACTTTCGTGCTCTACCAAGTGAGCTAGGCCGCCGGCCGAAGTATGCTGATTTGAAGTATGCTGATTTAATGGTTTCCAAGAGAAAAGCTTCAAAAAAGAACGCACAGGTGGTGGTTAGAATGTTGCACCACATTGTAGACCAGATATGCTTGACGTGCACCCTTCCAAGGGCATACGCACACTAAGGGCGTCTTTGAGTGAACCTGGCCGAAATTATGGTCATATGCATCTGAGAAAGTCCTAGTCTGAGTATGCCCTAAGGCTCTGCTTTTGCTGCACACTGGCTTCTGGATTGATAAGAGTCCTGTTGGTATACCCGTTCACTCCCAACCTACTGAGACAGGAGGCTATATGCGAGGGCAGGGCCGGGTATAGGGTAGGGTAGGGTAGGGTCGGGTAGGGCAGGGTAGGGTAGGGTAAGGCAGGGTAGGGCAGGGAAGGGTAGGGTGGGGTAAGGCAGGGTAGGGCAGGGCAGGGTAGGGTAGACCCTGGGGTATTAGGGCAGGGTAGGGTAGACCCTGGGGTATTAGGGCAGGGTAGGGTAGACCCTGGGGTATTAGCGCAGGGTAGTAGATGAGTGGATGAATAGAATGACGATGGGTGAGTTGATCGATGGGGTTGGTGCAGATGTGGTCTGTTTGATCAATGGATGGGCAGATGCCGTCGATCACCTATTCTTTGATGGTAATCGTCTGTCTCCAGTTGTGTGCTCTTTTGACCGTTGATGTATGCTGCTATGAACCAATTATATCATCACTCCAAACATATGCACAATGAGAGTTCACACGAATTCCACACCGAGGTCCAGAGAGGTAGAGACCAGATTAGCACAGCTCATAAACTTCAATGAATGATCATATTTTACTAAGCCAGAGTTCGAGTCATCAGGCGCTCATCAGTGCAATGTCATAATATACAGACTCCGAGTTTGTGTCACCAAGCGGTCATCAGCGCAACATCCAGCCTCCTCAATCAGCTATGTAACTCTCTCTCTCTCTCTCTCTCTCTCTCTCTCTCTCTCTCTCTCTCTCTCTCTCTCTCTCTCTCTCTCTCTCTCTCTCT